CAACACTAATCTCTAAAATAAAGTTGTTGAGACTGACAGTCTTATTTAAGGGACTTCTTTCTGATATTTGAAATGATTAATTTTCTTCTGCAAGGAGGAGACTCTGAGCTGTGAGTTTCTCAGCTGCCCTAACTTCCCCCCACCTATGTGAAGAATAAAACACCGGCCAGCCGCAGTGACTCACACAGGAGAGGGCTGGGGACCCCTTGTCTCTCCCTCTTCTTCTGATGTGAGACAGAAGTCCAGGTCTGCAACCTCACATTTGTGGCCCTTTAGGAGTTGGCATCAGGCTTCTTTTCTGACGACCTCAAAATGTTATTTCTGAGTGCACTCAACATGTCAACTCATACCGATTACTCCAGGCACTTTCAAGTTTCCAAGTTCTTACTTGTTTCAGACATGAACAAGAATCCCCTCCACTCCTCACTTGCACCAAGCCTTTGCTCTTCTTATTTACCCTTCAAAGTCTTGTTCAAGTAAGAACTCTGCTATGAAGTCTTCTTGGATATCTTCAAGTTCTAATTAATTCTCTATTGTATTTCAATAGCTTACTAATACCTCTACTATAGTGTTATTACTCCATCCTGTTTTGCAAACATTTCTTCAGGTAGCTCCTGTATCTCCCTTTCCACTGACTCTGATGAATCTGTTACAGGACAGGGATCACCTCGTCCTTGGCACCTTCCACGAAGGAGCTCAATGGATGCTGGTTTATTTGAAGACTTGCTGTAATATGCTTTCCAGTTTAGCTCTACTTTCCAACCTTGCCCTCAAGACCCAGAATGACCATATTCTTTGGAAAGTTTATATACAAGAAAGTAGTTCAGAAAAGTGCCTTCATTTAATCCCAGGCCTAGCAAAGTTCTCACACACTCCATCTGAAGCGTTTGTACCTTAACAAGTATATAAATGTATAGCCATGTGTGTGAGGGATGTGAACAAAGAGAATCAGTACAGTGTGACAGTCAATATTAGAGGATTAGTAAACATACAATGCAAAATGAAAATCTGCTTAGTAGCTAAAAGCACTTGCCTGAAGGAAATCAAAGCATGCAAACCTCAGAAGAAATCCCCATAGATTCTCCAAAAGCTGGTCAATCCACTGAAACACAGGGTAACCTTCCAACAGTACCAGCTACTGTAAGGCCACCACAATATGTCCAGGCAGTTAGAGCCGGAAGGAGCTTCAAGTAGCTACACAAGCAGAGCAAAGCAAAATTTATCATATTATGACAATGAGTTATTTCTACAGCAAGCCATCTTTCATAAGAGGTCTAACCTCTTTCTTCCTAGGTAGAAGATATTTTTCCTGAGAGCTTAAAATGTGTTTTAACTGTAATGATCATAATGTCAAAATTTAAATTATAAAAATCTGCTGAACCTTTCTAAAACAAGTGAGGAAAAGGACAACTTACACCTAAGAATACTCTTTAGACCAAGTCCTCTTTTCAAAGCAAAAGATCATCAGAATGAATGGGTAAGGGCCCTGTGAGGGCATTTGTGGAGTGAACTAGTAGACAGAAGTTCTGTCTCTGCCTCCCCACTACTCAAGATAAACAAAAATAGACCAAAAATTTTTTTAACTTGAAAAACCACGAGTTTCAAACCCAAGAGGATTAACAAAGGAGGAAAATAAAAGAAAACTCTGGTTTCAAATAAAGAGCACCCTCTAGAGGTTGCCTCAGCAATCAGTTGCACTTAAAAATCCTAAGTGAATGCTACATTCCTGTTAGGCTAAAGGAATAAGGCGTGGGGCCAGCATATTCTCCAAAGGTTTTTGACAAGAAGAGTTTTTGACAGTTCGAGCACTAGCAAAGACTAGAATATTGGAAATAAACTGGGGCCTGAGTGACACACTGTTTCAGATATGTCTTCTCTGGGTCTCGGTTTCCTTATCTATAAAAACAGGGGTCTAATTAGATGTTTTTTAATTCCTTTTCAAAGGTGTTTCTTTAGAGCCGTTGCTGGAGCACAGCAGGGTGAGTCGCTGTTGCAAAGCTAGCATCCCATGTCAGAGTGCAGGTTTAAGTCCTGGCTGCCCCTGTTCCCATCCAGATCCCTGTTCACGTGTCTGGGAAAGCAGTGGATGACGGCCCAAGTACTCGGGCCCCTGCTACCCAGGTGGGAGACCCAGATGGAGGTCCTGGCTCCAGGTTGTGGCCTGACCCAGCCGCTAGATCTCCCTCTTATGATCTGCTTTTTAAACAAATAAATAAATAAACAAATAAAAATCTTATATATATAATTATTTATTTGAGAGGCAGAGGGAGTCAGACATACAGCAGGAAGGCAGAGAGAGCTCCCACTTGCCAGTTCTTTTCTCAAATCCCCTCAAAGGCTGGGGTTGGGTCAAGTTGAAGCCAGGAGCTGGGCACTCAATCCAAGCACCCCGTGTGGGTGGCAGGAACCCAACTACTTGAGCCATCACTGCTGCATCCCATGGTGCACATCAGCCAGGAGCCACAGGCAGGTGTGGAAGCCAGGCAACTGTGATGTAGGACACGGGCATTGTAACTACTAGGCCAAACACCCACCACTCTCTTCTAACGATTAGCTTTTTGATGTCACTGGGACCTTGGGTAAAATGATGAAACACTGCTAACTAACCTTTTCAGGATCAGCCAAGGTTAAAACTCAAATTGAGCGAGGTTAAACCCTGGTTGTGGTCAGTACCGACTTGCGCACTGGAAGCTCAGGCCACAGGCAGATCCTAAAGACTGTGCAGTGAGCCACATCACCTGGAGCTGAGTCTTCTGAGCCAGGGCCTAGGGTTCTAGAGCTCTGCCATGAGGATTAAGACTGACTATGCTGGAACACAAGAGCTTTGTGCGCCTCGGGCAAGGGAAAAATAATGGGGAACAATTCCCTCTCTCCTTGTCAAGCTACCAAAACTGTATCTACACAGATGGCAACTAACAGAAAGATGACATATGATACAAATACAAATCCTTCAAATTTGATTTCTACAATCCAGGAGAACAGCTGTCTGAAAAAGAGCCAGGTAGAAACACTGAATTACTAAAATTAGAATTTTGAAATGAATTCTCATGTATTAAAAACTGGATGCCGTATTAAAAAGTTTAAATGCTACGGTGTTTGTCTAAAGCTCACAAAGGTATGCATAGAGGGGTGGTTTCCTATAGACAGAACATTCTAGGGCCAAGCCATCAAGAAGTAGACAGCTATCTGTGAACAGGACCCTAGGGGCACAAGAGCCAGCGGCTGGCAGACTTTCTAGCAAGAGCGTGCTAAGGAGCCACTCTTTACTACCTGCCACAGAATTAATACTTTTTAAAATGTAACCATTAATGATTCACAGGTTGGCAATAAAGTGGGTGGGTGGGGAGGAAACTGTTTTGCAAAGGCTGCTAACACAAAGGCATTTACTGGCAGGTTCTGGGCTGAGTACTTTGCTTCTCACCACTCCCTGGTGAGATACGTTCTGTGACTACCATTTTATGGTTAGGGAAACCGAGAGGTTAGAAAACTTGCCCAAAGTCACATAGCTGCAAGTAAAAGAGCTACGGTTTAAAACCAAAAGTCCGATTTCAGAGTACGGGCGTACTGTTTTTGTGTGTCCAGGCAGGCAGGGGTATGAGACTGACGGCTGTGTCTCCACTGTTTCGTGTGTCCAGGCAGGGGTATGAGACTGATGGCACGCTGGCTAGAGATACAGATGCTAAGAAGAAAGGCCGGGGGAGAACAGGACAGCATCGGGATGGCATCTGCTCTAGAGAACAAATGCAGGACGGGAGGCTGAGACACAGACCTGAGGAAAAGGGAAATTATACATTTTACCTAATTCTCCCAACTTGGCCCAAGTCCATATTCAAATTTTGGAGAAACAGAGATGTAATGACACAAAGGTGACATATTAGGTACTAAGCTAACTGAAAATCCAGAGGTATGGAGTCACACAGGGAACTCAGTGTGGGGAGACTGAACTCCGTGTCAGTCCAGTGCTGTTCAGAGAGAGGCAGCTCTACCTGGGGAACAGAGGTTTTTCAGTTCTAGTGGAAGGCAGACTACATGGAGAGAGAGCGAGCACATGAAAACCAGTCACTGCAGGAGCATATCCCAAGGTGCAACCTAGTAAACCGACATTCTGGTTTATAAACTCAATGAGTTTGTTTAAGCCAGGGCTAAGATAGCTTCTCCATAGCCAAGCACGACAGAGGCCATCAGAGCATTTCTAAAAGGCCAGCCAAAGCCATTTAAAGGACAGTCGATTGAATCTTTCAAAATTCCCCCAAATCTATTCCAGACATACACTTTAACATTCTTGATGGGAGGTACAACAAACCACATGTTGAGGACGTTATTACAGAACTGTGAAACACGCACACTGCAGATAGGAAAGGAGCTAAAATAAAGGGGTGATAAACCATAAACTCAACACAAGTTTGGGAGTAACTTGACGTATGGCTGAAATATGGGATAAAGTTGTGCTGGAAAAAAACAAAAGTACATGACAGGGTGGCCTTATCACTTCTTGCTTTTCCTATTTGTTGTTAAATGACAAGCAGAACGAGAATCAGCAGGTGCATCACTGCAAAGCATTAGAAACATAGCTTTTTTAGTACACAGAACAAACACAACAGTCAGATGCCCTGGAGTTGGAAATGGGTGTCTTGTGCTCATTCAGCGTTTGTCCAAGCAGACTAAACCTGTCCTTGGGATCCCAAGGGCCCGGCAAGTGTGCTCAGCTCTCAGAACTGCTTTGGAAACATTAATATTCAGATAAAGAGGAACCTACTGCAAAAAGATGACAGACGAGAGATTTACAGCATTTTCCAGCTTATGAGGAATCCTTCCAGCTCACAAAAGTGAATTGAAGCCTCTTTCTTGGCCAGGCAAGCTACTTAGCAAGACGGCATCCCCCAGAAAGCATATCTGGGTTGTAAAAGCAAGTAACTGAGAGGTAAGGGTAGGACACGTCCGTGGACACTGGAATACAGATAAAAAAAAAAAACAAGAATCCGCAACTGATCAAAGGATACGGTCTGTACCAGGAAACAGTGTTCTTCCAGTCAACAGCTCCGCCATTATGCATCCGACCGACCAAATATCAACTGGCAAAATTAAAAAGAAACAACAGTACACACCATGCAAATATTCCCACCACTGTTATATTTGGCCACAGACAGAACAGTAACTACAGTGAAATATTCAAACTAGTGTGTGTGTTACATGTGGGGCTCAACAACCATCCTCGTTTTTCTAGGAGTAAATCAGCTCATTAAGACTTCCACCCTTGGGGCCGGCACTGTGGCTCAGCGGGTTAACGCCCTGGCCTGAAGCACCGGCATCCCATAGGGGCGATGGTTCGCGAACTAGCTGCTCCACTTCCCATCCAGCTCTCTGCTATGGCCTGGGAAAGCAGTAGAAGATGGCCCAAGTCCTTGGGCCCTGCACCCGCATGGGAGACCCAGAAGAAGCTCCCGGCTCCTGGCTTCGGATCAGCACAGCTCCAGCCACTGCGGCCAATTGGGAAGTGAACCATCGGATGGAGGACCTCTCTGTGTCTCTCTGCCTTTCCTCTCTCTGTGTAACTCTGACTTTCGGACTTCCATCCCACTTTGGGGGAAGCATGGGTGGAACAAGGCAAACTAAGGTAAGAGACAGAGCTGTTCACAAAGGGATAGATGTCACTTGTCCTGAGGACTTCAGATTATGAACCCACTGTCTTCAGGTCAGAAGTGCCCAAAGGATTATACTGAAAATCCGAGTAAGTAAAAACTCCATTGCTGAATCACCAAGTTTGAAAGCAGTGTATGAAAAAAACCTCACTTCCCCATTGAGCAAGTGAAATAGGCTTGAAAAGGATCACTGGGGAGGGAAAAGGTGTTTCCTCTCCTTTCCTCCCTCTCTGAGAAGCCCAAATACATCCATCATGGCATTAGTGAGGCCCTGAGTCACCTGTGCAGGCAGTACCTGTCTGGTTGTAATGCATCCAGTTCAGCATGATCTCAGGAGCCCGATACCACCTGGTGGCCACGTAGCCCGTCATTTCATCATCAGTGTGTCGCGCCAACCCAAAATCCAGGATCTAAGGAAAGGAAACAGGACAGACCAACTGCTAAGACTTACGAGGTAGGCCGGGGAAAAAACTGCTGACTTAACAAAAGAAGGAAAACAATATAGCATTTTCATAAACAGATTCCTGATCCATACTTCGAATGTATGGTAAATACACAAGAACTTTAAAAACATTACATAAAAAAACCATAAAAAGATTACAAAAAGAAAAATAAAATGCCACTTCTGCATACTCAGGAGCAATGAAAACACATCTGTACAAAGTCTTGCACGTTGAGTGTCACTGTAACTTGTTTTCTAGGCAGCCCCAGACTGGAACTGGAGCAAATCATGGAGGGAAAAACAATGCTGGTGCGCTCATGAGATGGACTAGTACTCAGCAATGAACAGGAAGCAAGGACGAGACAGAAAAAAGATTATGAGTACAAGCCCGACACTCGCGACGCACACTGTGGGATTCCATTTCCACAAAACGCTAGGAGAGGGAAGTGTTCTTCAGCCTGACTGCGCTGCTTCGTGGTGCATTTTACTGTAGGTAAAAATCTTTTTAAAACTTGATTTAAAAAAATGTGAAATGAAGCAAGTCCCCAAGCTGCTTGCTCGTTATTGACAGCTCATTCATCTCTTGTTTCAATTATTTTGAGTGAGTGGCTGTCATTTTTCTTTTTAGCAATCTATTTTGTAATCACCTCTTCAGCATTTCTTACTTGATATTCAGACTATAATTTTCCTTTACTATAATTAATTTGTTACACTTCTAATTGAAAGTGGAAACAACCCGCCTGATGCCACTTTCATTGTCACTTACACAGCTTACTCATTCTAGGGGCTAACATGTCCTTTTCTTAGAGAAAGAGATTTTATTTGTTTGAAAGGCAGAGTGACAGAGAGAGGTTTAAATTTCAAAGTCTGATATTCCTAAGGACAATATGAATTTCCAGATAAAAAGTCATGGTTTATAAATGCATTCCTTATGAAAGTTTGCCTAGGGGTGGGCATTGTGGCACAGCAGAGCAAGCTGTCACTGGGACACCCACATCCCCTGTAGGAGTGCAGGCTTGAGTCCCAGCTTCTCCACACTTCCAAGCCTGCTAATGTCCCTGAGATGCAGCAGGCGATGGCTGACCCTCTGAGGAAGCGCGAGCCCCACAAGGCTTTACACGTACCTGGGTTCCTGTCTCCCACACAGTAGATCCAGGTGGAGTTCCTGGCTCTGGCCTGGCCTACCAACAAGCTATTGCAGGCACTGAGAGAGTAAACCAGGAGATGGAAGATCTCTCTCTCTCTCTACCTGTCATTCTGCCTTTCAAATAAGTAAATAAGTAAAATAAGTATGCCTGGTTAGCCAAACTACAGTGTCCAGGCAAAGCGAGCATCCCCACCGTGTGCACCTTACCTTCAGCTCACAGTCTTCGTTCACAGCTAGGTTACTAGGCTTTAGGTCCTAGGCAGCAAGCACAGAGAGGGGAGGGTCAACGTTACGATGCATGATAAATGCTCTCTCTGCAGGTAATAACGAGGGTGCAGACATAACAGACCTCACCCAGCTATCAATATACGATCTCTACCCCACAGTCTCTAGTCCAAACAGCCTCACACAGGCACAGACTGCACATCTTTCTTTAATCAGTGTAAATCCATTGCAGAGTTGCACTCATCAAGATTTCAATGGCTTAAGTAAGTTTAGATTATGATCATGGCAAAATGTTATTCTCCCACCCCCACGCCACATTCACTTAAATTTCAAATACATACCCTGTGAATTATGTCCGCTGAATGTATATACTGCAAAAGAAAAAAAAGCCAGTTAAAGTTGTCTCCAGCCCCAACCCCAGCACCCTGCACTGACTTCTCACGAGCCACCAAGGACTGCTGGTGTCCACGACGGGAATGGAAATCAGAGGGGCTTGCCAACAGTCTCTGGACCTTTCTCCACAGCTAAGCTTTCCTCTCACTGGAGCTTTCAACCCACTACCTGGCTGGTGCTCTGGCGCTCAACAAAGACTCCTGATGACTAAATATAAAAGGCAGTTTAATTTTAAATTCTATGTTTAATTTTCATTCTTAACCTTTTCTGCTCCTCCCACAAATAAACTGACTCCTTGAGGACTCCCTCTTAAGCCTCAGCATCACACTGGTAAGGTAACACATTATATCAAGAGACAGACATAATAACAGAGTTCTCGGCTCTCAGGTATGCAGCCTGCAGTGTCTAGAGGCGGCTGCTACATGCAGTGTCTAGGCCAGCTTTAAAATCACCTAGGGCTTGGGAAATACAAAAGAAACAGGACTGGCCACCTGCTATAACACTGGTCACTGAGTGAACCTGACAGGACATGGTTCCACATGTGACCTAAGAAAAGATGTCTGCCTGTTTGTTTTAAGCTCTATGTGGAGGGGGGGAAGAAATCATTTCTCAAAATGAAGACCAACATTGCCTGTACCTTTAGGCCTCGGAGGATTTGGTAGATAAGGAACTGAACGTGGTCATCTGTAAGCTTTTGGCATTTCACAATGTTGTTCAGATCTGCCCCCATGAGATGCGTCACCAGATACCTAGAAGTTAATGGAGAGTTACACGGCAATCCCAAGAACCCTCTGAGGAGGCGTGAATCCCACGGGGCTTTACAAAGTGCTTCGGGAAAGGCTGCCCACCACAGTAACTAAGCTAGAAAGCTCAACAACCACTTATACCACCTCTTCTAAAATGTTTACATTTTTCATATTCTTTTTTTAAGTTTGAAAGGTGGGGGAGGAGAGAAATCACTCATCCACTGACTGCCCCCTCCCCCTGCGCAAAATGTCCACAACAGCAGGGCTGGGTTAGGCCGAAGCCAGGAAACAAGAACTCCATCCAGGTCTCCAATGTGGGTGGAAGGGACCCAAAAATTTGTCTCCCATGGTGTACATTAGCAGGAAGCTGGATGGGAAGAGGAGGCAGGACTTGAACCCTTGCATTCTGATATGAGATGCAGGTATCCCAAGTGGTGGCTTAACCTGTTGAGCCACAATGCCTAACTCTCTGAAAATATACTTGCTCTATCTTTTGCCAATCTCTTGGGAGAAAAAAAGAAAAAAAAATATATGGAAATTAGAAAGATTGTCAGCTTACCTAAGAAATCTTATTCTTGCAGGAGAAATACACAGTACATGGCCATAATTAAGTACCTTGTATTTTTAAATCCACCACTACACTTTCATTTCATTATCAACTTGCCACAACTTTCCACATTATAGGTTCTAAATCAGCATTTTTAGATTTTCAAACTAAAATTCTCCTTTTTCTGGGATAACTAGTAAAGGGATATTGTCCACTGACGATAGCGTCACATGTCCCTTACAGGAAGGAGGAACACATTTTATCTAGAGGCAGATGCGACATTCCAGAACTTCTCCTCACAGGTGTGCTGCTGGTTATTAATCCTGTCTTTACAGGAAGCGATTACATTCAAGTCCAACAGGTTCACCGCAGATATGCTGTACACAAAGCCTTCACCCATTCATTACTGGATCACACAACTACAGCAACACAAAAGGCAGATCAGTACCCCAAAGAGGCTCAATTTTAAAAAGTTGGCAGTGGTGGGGGGCGGGGAGTGTACAGTTTCTTTCCTCCAAGAGGAATTCCTTTTTTTTTTTTTTTTTTTTGGTCCTCTGTCTCAATTTTCCTGTATGGCTGTCATGGATAGTTCTCATTCTTTCTCTCCCTATTAAGGTTGATTTTTTATTTATTTGAAAGACAGTGAAAGAGACGGAGGGAGGGAGACAGACAGAGAGCTTCCATTTGCTGGTTCACTCCCCAAATGACAACAGCCATGGCTCGGCCAGGCAGAAGCCAGGAGCCTGGAACTCCATCTGGGTCTTGCATGAAGGTGGCTGCCTTCCCAAGTGCATTAGCAGGGAGCTGGATTAGAACCAGAGGAGCCAGGACATGAAACAGCGCTCCAACATGGGATGCTGGCATTGCAAGTGGCGGCTTTACTTGCTGTGCCACAATTCTGGCCCCAGTTCTCAATTTCATCAAGACCAAGAGGTGTTAGCCTAATTGTAACTTTAAGGTTACAATTTTAGCATTTCATTTTTTTAAATATAATTTAAAAAAATTTTTACTTAATTTATTTGAAAGAGTTACAGAGAGAAAGTGAGAGACAAGGAGAGGAGAGGAGAGGAGAGGAGAAGAGAGGAGAGGAGAGGAGAGGAGAGGAGAGGAGAGGAGAGGAGAGGAGAATGAATCTTCCATCTTCTGGCTCATTCCCCAGATGATCATATGGGCCAGGGCTAAACCAGGCCAAAAGCCAGGAGCCAGGAGCTTTATCTGGGTCTCCCACATGAGTGCAGAGGCCCAAACATAGCCATCTCCTGCTGCCTTCCAGGCACATCAGCAGGTAGATGAGTCGGAAATGGCACAGTTGGGACCAGAACTGATGCCCACATAGGATGTTGGCAATTCAGGTGGTGGCTCAACCCACTCTGCCACAACACCGGCCCCCAACATTTCATATTTTAAAACTTGCATATTTATATATTTTTTAAAGATGTTATTTATTTATTTATTTGAAAGGTAGAGTTACAGGCAGTGAGAGGGAGAGACAGAGAGAAAGTTTTTCCATCTGCTGGTTCACTTCCCAAATAGCTACAATAGCTGGAGCTGGGCCGATCCAAAGCCAGGAGCCAGGAGCTTCTTCCAGGTCTCCCACATGGGTGCAGGGGCCCAAGTGCTTGGGCCATCTTCCACTACTTTCCCAGGCCCTAGCAGAGAGCTGGATCAGTAGAGGAGCAGCCAGGATTAGAATCAGTGCCTATGTGGGATGCCAATGTCCCAGGCAGAAGATTAACCTAGTGCGCCACAGTGCCAGCCCCGCATATTTATATTGTCTTGAGGAAAGGGTGACCTCTACACATAATTTAAAGAGTACATTGGACTACTTGAAATGTTTTCATAAAGATACGTTTGATTTCAGAGCTGTTCCCAGCTTAACATAACAGAATCGAAGGCAGTTGGTGCTTAGTCTGCGCCAGTACTGTGTAAAGTTTACTGGGTTTGTGTCTCACACGCTCTACCCTGCAGCTCTGTAAGGTAACTCATTTCATTAATGAGGAAAGGAAGACAGGACAGGAGAAGTAACCGACTCAGGGTCCAACAGAGTGGGGATGTCAGGGGCTGAATTCAAATCTATCTAATCCCAGAGACCACGATCCTAATCACACTGCCTCCAAAGTCTTCCAGTTGACATAGAATTTACAGCAAGAGAAGGACCTTTTTAAAAAGGTTTATAGGGGCTGCCACCTGCAGTGCCAGCATCCCATATGGGCACTGGTTTGAGACCCGGCTGCTCCTCTTCTGATCCAGCTCTCTGCTATGGCCTGGGAAAGCAGTGAAAGATGGCCTAAGTCCTTGGGCCCCTGCCCACATGGGAGATTCAGAGGAAGCTTCAGGCTCCTGGCTTTGGATCAGTGCAGCTCCGGCCGTTACGGCCATTTGGGGAGTGAACCAGTGGATGGAAGACCTCTCTCTCTCTCTGCCTCTGCTTCTCTATAACTCTGCCTTTCAAATAAATCTTAAAAAAAAAAAAAGTTTTATAATTATCACAATAAGCAAGGAAGTACTATTTCCAGATAAATTCCTTAACAATTCTCAATACTTATCATGACAGTTAATGTTCACTAATGAGAAAGCAGAGCTGGCAAGAACTTAGTGCCATCTCCCATACCAATCAGTCTTTGTGTTTTTTTTTTTTTTTTTTTGACAGGCAGAGTGGACAGTGAGAGAGACAGAGAGAAAGGAGGAGCCAGGTGCTTCCTCCTGGTCTCCCATGCCGGTGCAGGGCGCAAGGACCTGGGCCATCCTCCCACTGCCTTCCCGGGCCACAGCAGAGAGCTGGGCTGGAAGAGGAGCAACCTGGACAGAATCTGGCGCCCCAACAGGGACTAGAACCCAGGTTGCCAGTGCCGCAGGCGGAGGATTAGCCTAGTGAGCCGTGGCGTCGGCCAGTCTCTATTTTTAAATCTCAAATTGGCACCTAATCTGACAAATATATGAGACTGTTGTGAATAACCACGTAATATTCTGAAATCAAGACCTCTTTAAAAAATCTGGGATAATGGTTGCCATAATTATAATAATTACGACGTTTTAAGGCTTATTCTGTTTGTGTCTTGCAAGACTGCCTTGTGGATGATTACATTTTATGCCATCAGATAAGAAAAGGATTATTCTCTCAACTTTTCTAAATAATTTTAAGGACAGGAAGGAAACAAAGAGAACACTGCCCCGGATTATTCTACTCAGAATCTATCTTGTTTTGAAAGGAAACTTAGAAATTCTAACTAATATGTCCATATGCCTCTAATTCTGCATACGTGTGTGTGTGTGTATAAACATTTATTTATTTATTTGTAAGTCTAAGTTACAGAGAGAGGGAGGGAGAGACAGAAAGAAAGAGAGAGAGAGAGAGAGAGAGAGCGAGCAATCTTCCATCTACTGGTTGACACTCCAAATGGCTGTAGTAGCAGGGGGTGGGCCAGGCTGAAACCAGGAGCTAGGAGCTTCATGCAGGTCTCCCATGTTGGTGCAGGGGCCCAAGCACTTGGGCCATCTTCCACTGCTTTCCCAGGCCATTAGCGGGGAGCTGGATCAGAAGTGGAACACCCAGGACTCAAACAGGTGCTCACAGGGGATACTGGTGTCTGAGGCAGTGGCTTTACCTGCTATACCACAACGCCAGCCTCTTTTTTTTATTTGAAAGGCAGAGTTACAGAAAGAGGGAGAGAGAGAGATAAGATAGATGGGGGAGGGGAGAGAAAGAGAAAGATTTTCCATCTGCTGGTTCTCTCCTCTACTGGCCAAAATGGATGGGGCTGGGCCGGGCGGAAGCCAGAAGTCTGGAACTCCATCTGGGTTTCCCACATAGGTGTAGGGGTAGGCCCAAGCACTTGGGTCATCTGCTGCTGTTTTCTTAGGTGCATTTTAGCTTTAAGGGTGCATTATCAGGGAGCTGGAAGTGGTGTGGCCAGGGCTCAAACCAGCACCCATCTGGGATGCTGGCATTACAGGTGGCAGCTTAACCTGCTATACCACAACACCTGCCCCTAATTCTGTCTTTCAAATAAATCTTTCTAAATAATTCCAAAAGTAAATTAAGGCAGGTTTGATTTGAGTGCAGTCGGAAAGCTATCTAGTTCTCCCACGCTAAAAGAGGAGTTCGGTCAGATTTTATTAAGGTAAAGGCTGAAACAGACATTGAGTTTTCACTGGTGAGGATGATTGATTCCCTTTAAATTTAATCAAAATATAAAAGGCATAAATAGCCTTTCTCAAAATGACTCTGAGTAAAATGTACTGTAGCAGCAAGAGGGCAGAGCTCTGCAGTAAGTGGCTGTCAGAGCTCCAGCCAGCACCACGTTCTAGAGCTTTATTTATTAGGCCCTTCCTGGATAACATCCAGCGATCATCCATCTGCCCCCACTTACAGCGTCATACAATCAAAACAGCCTATGTGGGAAAACATCTCTTGTGTATCTATAGTTTGGCATCTCTACTTACCAGCACCACTGAA